CAAATTATTAGTGTCTTTTATTGCTTTTTAGAAAAGTAGCTCTAACTTTTGGCAATGATTGATTGTAGTCGCAGTTGCAGGATTCAGGTTTTTAAATGATTGCTTCTTAGATTAAATTCTGTATTAAATTTTTGTGCCCTCACACTGCTTAGTAATTCATGGTTTCCAGCAGTATACAGGGTCAATATCTTGCTATGTACCTGATGCAGGTAAATTCAACAAGATTTATTTGATTTCTTGCAGAAACATAGTTTCCAAGTTGTCCATATACGATATTGATTTCTTTTAAAAATTAATCCAGAACGAATGCATTGGCGTTCATTTTGGTTCTTCTAAAGAAAATTGCTTTCTCTACATTGGGTGGGAAGTATTCTTTAAATTAGTAAAATAAATGCTAAAGTATTTGTCTGGTGTTCTAAAATAATTGATGGCAATGTTGCACATGTGGTACAAAGTATTTTTTCTCTTTTGCCATCTATGTAACTGTTAGGAATGACTCATTAGAAAGAAATATTCAGTATTTTTATTCATGTGCAAATGTTTCTGAGGCAGAGACACTATTGAAAAAGAAAATGCTACACATTTACCCATAACCTTATTTTCTTTTGGGGTAAGCAACATTATGCAGAGCATGGAAAAGGAGCAACAAAAAGTAAGCTGAAGAAATTAAAAACATGAGATAAGAACAAGGAAAGAAAATGTAGCTAAAGTTTGTTTTCAAGTATACTCCCACTATACTTCTCCTATACTTTCTATCCTTGTAACCTATGTTTATTTCCAACACATCCACCTCTTCATACATAACCCGTGTTCTTACTCTATTTGCCTCTCTTTTTCAGGATCTCAGTAACTCCATCCAACCATAACTTTCTTGTATTTCCCTTTCCTCTCAATTTATCCTTTCTTCCTTCATATATTTATTGTAAAATTGAATCCCATTCAGCCTCTTGATATAATCAAACAACCTCACTCTGCTTCTTTCTTGCTGACCATACACTTTGTATTTAACCCATATTCATTCAGCACCCATACATTCTTGATCCTCTCTCTCCTTATTCTATAGTACACAATTCTTTGGCATCCTATTTCTACTGCATTTAACTTCCAACCATAGCTAATTCATATTGTAATTTAAATAGTAAAAAAATAGCAGAAATGGTGAACTAACATCTGCATTTGGTAAGTCTGACGTATTAGTGACTAGAAACAATCCTTATCTAGCTTAGGTGCTTGCATTGAAGAATATTTATTTATTTATTTATTGGATTTCTCTCCCGCCCATCTCCCCTACAATATGCTGAACACACGTAGGAAAGTGACCCAATTCTCCTTTCTTGAGTTGTCTCTTGAAAATATATAATTTCATTTTAAATGCTTTTACTGAATTATACATTTTAAAGATTAGTTGATGTTTTCCTTGAAGCTGCAGATTCACATTATTTACATGAGTTGTGATATCAAAAAAGAAAAAGAGATCATAGTTCCATTCTTCATCTTTGAACTCTTTGGATTTTCTTGGTTCATTTACAAGAAATTTTGTTACTTTGTCTTTTATAGTAACAAAATACTGACATATATGTCCTTGACTCAATCATCCTATTTCTGTGTGATAAATTAAGTCATTACATTCAGTTTCTGCTTCTTGAAGGAATGTTTGGAATGTTCTTTTGTGTTTTAGTCTACTGCTATGGGGATAGTTAACAATGGAGGCAACCGACATCATATGATCAAATTTTAAGACTTTACTACACAACGTTTGAGATGAATAATGCAGTGGTGTTGGATATTTCTTGTCCAATGTAGTGTTCAAGAAGAGCAACTGCTCTGAACTTTTTGCTAATTCATGGCTGGTACTTCATCAGTGCAAATTGCCATCACATTCTTCAGATCAAGTTTCAATGTTTCTTTGAGACATTTTATGATTTCATTGCAAATTTCTTTTCCAATTGTGCAGCCAGTTATGGAGCACATTCCAGCAAGCTCCTCAATATTTTCAACATTTGTTCTGCTTCCTCTTATAAAAATGAGTAATTGGGCTGTGTCTTTTAAATTGGTGCTTTCATCAACAGGTAATGAATAAGAGAGAAATTCTTTATGTTTCTCAGCTAATTCTTCCAATCTTCTTTGAACAGTCATTTGGGATAAACTAATATATCAAATATTGCTTTCTTTTCTGGGCATAAATTGGACACAGCAACTGGCATATGCTTCTTAAAACGTTTTCCAGCAACAGCGATCTCCCTTGCCGTTTTAAAGCTCACTTCAATAACTGTCTCATTTTCAGCACTTAAATTATTGAAAACCTATTGCTCTCTGGTGAGATTTTTCAGTAAACTAGCAACTTTTTCCCCTTCATTATAGTCTGATTTAGCAAGAGCATGATGTTTTGTTCAAAATGTCATCAGAGATTATATTCTTTCAGGACACCTACTGTTTCATGACACATAAAACATACGATTTTGCCTTTCAATTGAGAAAAAATATATTTATCTATTCTGCATTAAAAACTATATTCTGATTTAATTTTTCTCCTCTTGTGTTCACTCATGGTATCTATGGGTTTATAATTTAAAAAATAATTCAAAATTGGGTTTTAATTTATTTAAGTAAAATAATATTTGCTTTTATTAAGCCCATGGAAATACAAACATTAGCACAAAAAAATATACCCTAAAAGTTAACACACAGCAAAATTAATAATCACACATCAAGGTAGAAAAAATATGATTGACAATGAATTGTAACCTTATCTCAGTGCTGCTACTGAGGTTTATGGTGCCCATTTGCTAGAGTGCAGATTTGCAAGAAATGAGAATCTCCGAATCACATAACCACAACAGCTATGAACATTATCTATTATACTTTGGCAATATAACAATTTTTGTTGTAATTTTGTGGTCACTTTTATAGTATTCAAGAAATTGGTTCAATATTATTAGGCATAGACCACATGACGAGTTACATATTCAGCAAACTGTATTTTAAGAATATCCAATAATTAAACTTATTGTGCTCTTAAACCAAACTTACTTAATCCAATATTTAAATTTCCAGCCATTATAGTGTTAGAAGGTTGGGATATGTAGACATTTTTAGATATTTAGACATTTATCTTTACCTGCTTGTATAACATGAAGTAACAGCAGTCCCAGCAATATGCCAATATTCCCTTTTCTGTATGTATGGTTGACCTCACAGTGATTGGTCTCACTTTAGATTATCAACAGGTTACATTCTTGAGGATGTGACCCTCAACACTTCTTAATATCTCAAGGATGCGTTAATTGCTCTCATGGTTTGTCTCTTCCCGACTGGAAGACAATTCATGTAAGCAGATAAACTATCTTGACCTGATAGTCTTTTCCTATTCAGATGACCCCTCACAAAGAAAGATAAGTGGTCCTGACCTCATTTCTTAGGGATGTAAATCAGGACAGCGCCTGGTGGACAATCAGAGTGATAAAGGATAGTTTACATATGGCTGTTAACAATCAAGGTGATAAAAGCTAGTTTGCATATAGAAAG